CGCATTTTTACAAGGTTTGAAAAAAAATTAAACCATTTGAAACGAGTTATTTGCATTAATTCAAAAATTTCAAAACAACAACTTGATATTATATATTGATTATATGAACAATAATATAGTTTTGGTTACATTATTGTTACTTGAAAAGGGTATTAAAATACATTTTAAATATTTAATATATTAAATGATTCATAAATATACTTTTACATTTACGAATTTTACATTCAAATTTCCAAAAAGTTATTTATTAACTTGTTCGAATTGTTTTAAATGTTTAATATTATTTATAACTATATATTTCTATTTAATAATTATTAAAATAACAAATTGATTTTTTGTAAAAAAAAATTCTATAAATAAATGAGATATGGAACAATTAAAACTGTGTTCAAAAAATTTGTAAGTGTTGATTTTTTAAATAGATATACCAATTTAAAGTCATTTAGTAAACATAAAATGGCTTAAATTTTGTCTAAACATCGGGCATTAGGTGAAAAAACCCGAAACAATTGGGATGGATTTTTAAGATGACTTCCCGAAATATTACATTCTTTATGGTCCAAAAGGTACCAGATAATGTTTGAGACTGAACAAAATATAAAGTCAAACAATATTTTATTTCAATAAATTTTAATTTATTATTTACAATCAAAAATGTCTAATAATTTTAAATTTTTAAGAGAAAGGACGAATGGTTGCACAAAAGACTGGCAATATTTTTTAAAGACGTCTTTTGTGGATTAGGGACGTCTTCCATTATTTTTGAATTCCTCACTTTGTGTAAGAATTTTTTTTATTATTATTGTGTCGGGTTTCCAAAAACTATAAAACGAGTTATAATTTTACGATATTTTTACTATTTTAAAAAAATCATTTCCAAATTAAAATATAATAGTAAACAAACACTATAAAACAGGTAAATTTTGTTATAAATTAATAGTTTGAATGAATTAATTTATTTTTGTTAAGTTGGACATTTTGAGTCACTTTCACGTGTCATCTCTGATTTGTGGACCTAAAATTCCCAATATTTGACTATAAATCATCGATACAAATATATTATTGTGTCATTTTGGTCCAATTGTTAGTGCAAAACATAAAAAACAATTTTATAACGGACGATTATGAACTAGTTATACAGTATTATATTTTATAATACATATAACATATTTTGTTTTTATTGAAATAACAAGTTCAGTCACAATATAATACAAATACTTATAAACAAAGTTCAAAATAACAACACTTTATCTTGTATTTGGATTGGTATGAAGCTTTAAAAATATTATTATTATTATTGCACTTAAATTAAACAACAACTTTTTACATTTTACATTATAATATAAAACGTCTTTTGTTAAACACTAAAATTATACAATTTTGTATATATTATTTATAATATTATTAATAATTATTTAATTCAATCAAAACAATTAGTTTTTTTACTGTTTCTAAAAAAATGCTTTTATTTAAAAAAAAAGAAAATTAAGTCCTGTTTGATTTTTAATACAGTCATGCGAAAAAGCTGTCGCGTTTGGAAAAACCTGTCTTGAAAAAATATTTTATAGTAAATTTATAATTACTTACTATACAGTATAGCTTCTATTCGATTTATTTGCAGGGTCATTTCACAAAAATCGAATAAAAATATTCGGCATTTCCAAATAACATTTTCTATTTCAGATCATTTGTTTATAGTACTAGAATAGTTCATTACCACCCGAGACAGGTTTTTCCAAACGCGACAGCTTTTTCGCATGACTGTATTTGTCTTGTTCATAATTAAATTTAAATTAACCTTAGCAAGTCAACTGAATCAACTTTTTTTTGTGGGAAGGTGAAATCTGGATAAGATTTATCTAGATCATAATTTATTTTTAGAACAATTAAAATAAAATTCAAAACACAAAATCGATTAGTTTTCGCGCAAACTACTGGTCTTTACAGACCCATGTTTCCTATTTTCCATGTGTTCAAAATAGTCAATACTTGCTGTTACGAGACATACACATTAATTTTCATGAGAGCGCTTTGTAATTCATCAGTTTTTCATAATTTAAATCGGTTTGTGACACGCCGTTCTTAAATTAAGATCTTTTTAGTTCAAATACAAAAATATAAAAAGTGACTTATTTTTAGTAAAAAAAATCAAGGATATAAATTATCCAGTTTTCACTGCGTTAGGTTAAACAATTATCAAACTACTTGATTCAAATTATTGAAATTACCAGTTACTAAGTAATTTAGTAAACAGTAAATTATATTACTATTGATTTAAACCAAACTTATTTGAATAATTCCTTGTTGTTTTATTAAAAATAACGTTTAGAGTTTTAATAATTTTTATTGACAGTTATTATAAACTTATACAAATGTTGACACATATTTAAGATTGCTAGGTAGTTAAATAAAAAATGGAAATTTCCAACCATGTTATATAAACACTAAAAACTCCATCAACAAATAATGGAATACAAGTTGACAGCACTTTCGAAATTTTGCACAGACGCAGCAAAGGTGGTGTCAGATTTTAACAAAACAAGACATGAATATTATTATTTTGATGACAAATCACTTTCAATTGAACAACGCATTGAAAATACAAAGTTGTACCTTGACAAAGTTGATGAAGTGTTTAATAGAAAAAAGAAGATCACAACATCACTCAATGAAATTGTCACAAGTTTGGACTACACGTCCAACAAAATCAAAGAAGAGATGAGTCTGTATTCAACAAAAAGTGACAACGAAAAAATATATGAAATATTCAATCTCAGAATTGCACTTCTTGAAGAGAAGTGCAAAAAAGAGATAGAACCTTTTGAAACCCAAATCAACAAAATTGTTCAAGAAACAAATTACTCAATCAAACAAATAAAAACATCAGACAAATACGAAGCTTCAAAAAAACAATATGACGAAGAACACGAAGAAGCTGAGAGGATGAAGCGCGAACACCTTACACTTAAGGAGAAAGCCAGTCTTGAGAAGTTAACAGAAAAGAGCATTCTAAGCGTAGTGTTTGACTCAGACAAAGATAATTGGTTTCATAAAACGTCTGTTTTTAGTAAAAAAGTGTTAAACAAGAGCAACTTGTGCTTTTT